TATAGGTAGAAATTGCATTTTGTTATTTTAAGTTGGCCATCTTTGATTATTTATCATATGAATATTTTCTTAAGTTTATTTACCATATTTTTGATGTTTTAGTTATAGAAATGAAATCAGTATGATTTGAAATCCTAAGGACTGCATAAATTGTGGAGTTCTGCATTGATTTTTTTTCAATTCCTTACTAATTTTTCTGATTTTATACTGTTTTCATTAATGCACAAGAGTCAGGTTTGCATTTCAAGAGTGCCTTTTCCATTAGAAATAAAGTAGCAGTTTCCATCGACCTTGAAGTCCTTTGAATTTGTATTTTTATTTAAAAAATGAAACCACAGTCCAAGTTTCATTTCTCATTTACTACTTCTCTACCTGAGTTGTCAGTTTTGGTTTTGCTCTAAACTGAGGGTAAAGGAGAGGGCATCTCATTAAATCACTGTATCTGGGCAAGGTTCTTGTAAAGTTATCTACTTTACTTTGCATATTTTTTTAAGTTTGTCATTTCAAAATAAATATAGACCAAATGCTGTTTAAGATGTGTACTTGTGTTTAAATAATCTATTGAGTCTAAAAATTTTAAGAACAGTGATAGTATTTTCAGTTGGGGATGTCAATGTGAACACTTCTTTAAGGAAATGCAACATTTAGGAAATAACCCTACTGAAATGGCAGTTACATGAAATGACTTCTATATGGACAAAGTATGGGCTTTCCCGTAAGCATTGGAAAAAGACTAAAGAAAGTTACTTGACTTTAATTTTCTTTTTACATATTAGGCTCTTCTTGAGAGTCAGTACTTCATTCTTTAATTAAACAGACAAGTAAGTATGTGAATTGTAAACTCCAGGAAGAAACAACTTCTACCTCTTTAAATATTAAAATCCAATAAAATGCTGGATGAATAATAGATTACAGGTAGTTAAAACTGATTGTGTTGCAGGGTATTTGTTTAAACTTTGAGTAGGAAATTTTAATCAATTTATTCTTTTTGTAAATATTGATATATTTATACATGTTATTATGTTTTGTGTTTTCTATTTGCTTTTTTTTTCTTTGTTTTGTATTCTCCTTGAATTATATATTCTGTCAGCTGGATATAAAATAACCATGTTTAGCTGAACTACTTACTTTAGTCTGAATATTAGTAACAAAATCCAATGTAAGCTTATTGGTTATGCTTGTACATGGTATGCGTGTGTATTTGTGTGTATATGTATATAAAAGAAAGGAAGCCATTTTGAATGAGGTGACTGAAATATAAATTTACCAGTTGCAATAAGGAGATTTAACAAACTTACAGCTGTCGTAATGTATTGTGCACAAGAGATACTTTGCATTCAGTTTCACGTGTGAGACTTTTAACGGTTTTCAAGGAACTCTACAGGTCTACAGCATAAAAAGCATAAACTCAAACCACTGACCCAATCCTTGCAATGAGGAATGAGTCACTTAGCTAGTGAGTCAGATCGAATGCTTAGGATTGACACCTTAATTCAACTTTTATTTCCTATACATCAGGCAGTAGCTCTGGAATTTTACATTCTGCTAAATCTCTATGGAGTAGATCATATGTTATCATGGAATTGGCAAATTTAGGGATTTATGAAGGTTTTGCAATTGACAATTATTAAATACAAAGGGTCTTTATAAGTGAAAGAGCAGAGTAGCTTGCTGAGGTCTTTGTCACCTTCTATATTCTGTGTAATTAAGAGCAAATAGCAAGAGTGCATTTATTGATACAGATCACAAATACACCAGCAAGAAGAACTTTTTCAACTTTACTGTGAGTTGATAGTAAGATGGAAATGAAATCTTAATAATCAGAATTGATAGGAACTCAGATAAAAATGTTAAATTTCTTATCAATGTTGATAAACATGAAGTGTTCACTGATGAAGCCACATTTTGTTAACCTGGGTGCAGTTGGAAATTAGTTGATTATTGAGTCTTTTTAATTAGCAAATAAGAAAATCACTAAATATAATGTCAGACTGGTGACATCCTTTACTAGGTATGCAAAGAATCATAAACATGATATGAACTTGTAATACAAATGCTTTAAGTGGGCCATTTGTGTAACTTAGCCCCAATTCCATCACATAATGCCAAATCTACAAGTTTCATGTATTTAAAGTACTTTTGGATCTTAGAGATTTGGTATTCAGATACATGAACTAAGAATTTTTTAGTTTAATAATGTCTTCAGAACTAACAGAATACTTTATCTCTCAGTGTTAGGTTAATAAATGTACATTTTATATGAGTTTATATTTTATTCAGTCCTAAGAATCTTTATTAGTAGTCTGATACATTGGGTGAACAAAGTAGAAGTTGTTTTTTTGCTTTTTGATGTTGTAGTTTTATCTTAGGATGCAATTCTCATTTATCAAGTTCATTTAGGAAATGTAGCTCTGTTAAGAAAATGACAAAGACAACAAGAGGGATGATGGCAACTCATCTTAAGGTATGTTTACATCTGTGATATAAAACCTGGTCACTAGTAATGTTGCTTATCCCTGCACACTTAAATATAAATCCTAGTCATTACTGCTTACTCCTGGAATTGATAAAAACAAAGACTGTTAACTTAAAGAAAAGAACCAGTTTTTATTTGCAGGGGGAAATCCAATGCACATCAGCCTTTGTGGAAGGCAAAAGGGAATTTGCAATAGCCAGGAACTTTGCTAATATTTCACAAATATATTGCTATTTTTTTTCCTGATGGCACCTCACTTTCTAATGAGACAGGAGCCATCATGTTGCTAATAGCCTACACTGATGGCCTGGATTTAGAAATAAATTTGCAATTATTTTAGTATTGCTTGGCTTTTTTAAATGAGCTCTGTAGGAAAACAGAGGCTTATTCTCTGGGGCACACACACACCCAACGAGTCATTTTTCACTTCTGAGATTGCTAAGGAGAATAGAGAGTGATTTGGGGAGTTAAGATGAATCATAGAAAAAGATTTCTTCTACTCACTTTACCATCATGCTGTGCATTTCTGCATCTATTTAAAAATTAACTTATGACCCCTTATTATAGATTACTCTCAGTCACGCACATAGCTTCCCTCTAAAACCATTATTATAACTTCTGTTCAACACACAAGTTGTTTTGACTTGTTAGTATGGACAGATCACAGGACTCTCAAGGAATATCAGGTTAGTTTTAATCTTTCACTATGGTCAAAATGGGATAAATGTGTGCTTGTGACTGTGTGTGCCTTGATTACATTTCTTTGAAAATTATCAAACAAAACTTTGCCCAGGGCTTAGAGGAGTGTTCTGGGAAAAATAAATTCAGGGAAAATTATTTAGGAAATGCTTCGGAGATGACTATTCTTCTATATTTGTCATTAAGTCCTGGAGTAGCTTTGAAAAGCATTAGCAAATAACAATAGGTAATGTTAATCTGTAGTGCTTTTCTTTTTTTAAAAAAAAATATTTACTTTTTTAGTTTTTTTAGGTGGACACAGTATCTTTATTTTATTTTAATGTGGTGCTGAGGATTGAACCCAGGGCCTCACACATGCCAGGTGAGTGCGCTACCACTTGAGCCACATCCCCAACCCTGTAGTGCTTTTCTTATTAGACATTCCCTCTGAATCAATAAATTTCATTTTGTTGTTTTTCTAAGTTTGGAGGTAATCTGCAAGGCATGATTATGTTAGAATATCAGATTAATATTTTGAAAATTCTTGGCACTGAGTGTTGATTTGTTCTATGTTGACATTAAATTGCCACAAACTAGCCCTTGGAGCAGTTTGAGATAAAATTCTTGAAATTATAAATATATGTCCATGCTTCTACATATATCTGCATCTACATATGTATGTGAATTAAATTCATATTAAACATGGAGAAATATTATGGTATTAAAACATACAAAATGGCACACAACTAAAAATTTATAATAAAATTTTTTTTGAGAGAGAGAGAAAGAGAGAGAGAGAGAGAGAATTTTTAATATTTATTTTTTAGTTGTCGTCAGACACAACATCTATGTTTGTATGTGGTGCTGAAGATCAAACCCCGGCCGCATACATGCCAGGCAAGCGCGGTACCGCTTGAGCCACATCCCCAGCCCCAATAATAAACTTTTAATGCTACAAGAATATAATTGCATGTCATAGCAATATGAATGCTGTATCCATATGATATACAATAACATACCAACTCAGCCAAGATTTTAAATTTTTTCTATCAGAGTTATACTATCTATAAAATTTTACCTATTTTTCATTCCACAATTGATACATTATGAATACAAAAATATACTAAGATTTTTAAAGCACATAATTGCCATATTTGTTTAATATATTTTTTATTTGGTTGCACTTTGATTATTACTGGCAAAAACAAAAGGCATCAAAGTAAGACATGTTCTCAAAATTTGTTAAATGAGAGTGATTAAACATCATTTGATATTCTAGACTGGGAATTTTTAAGTAACACTCAATAATTGATTAACAGAAATTCAGTTGCTTTATATGATAAATATTTACTCACTATTTTAAAAGATTTTATTTATATTTATTAATCTTATAATATCTTTGAGAATTCTATAGACATAAATATTCCCTGCTAGGTATGAAAGATTAAAATGACTTTCTCAATGTCCCAACATTAAGAATGAAGTTAAAACTATTAAACTAGATTTTCTAATTTTCCAACAAATATCTGATTGAATCATCTGTTTTTTAAAGTAATATTTCTAAAAGGCAGTAACTTTCATGGTTAATGATAGTGCTTTTATTGATTGTTTTAAAGAAATGTATGTCTACTACCTTCTATATTTTATTTGTGTTTAACCTTTGGAGATCTATTCACTTATTTTAAATTCAATTTTGAAGTTTTCCAAGAAGCTTTGCTTGTTTGATTTACCCTATCTTTTTTCCAATAATCATAACTTATTAAAAGGCTGTTAGAATATTGGTATTAATGCTAATTGAGTATTAAACATAAATACTTATAAAATAATATTTGTATAGGACATTTATATCTCTTTTTAAAGAGAGGTTTAAGAGAAATTTAAAAAATTAACCAATAACTGTTTCAACTTCTAAACAGGTTATGATATAAGACAATGTCCAATATTTGAGAATTCACTTAATGTGAGAGAAACATGGGATAGAATTAAATTGCCTGGTCTCTGAAAAGATTCTTAAGTTTTTCCTTATTTCTAATCTAATACTTAGAAATAAAATGGTAATTCATTTAGGTCATCAGTGGGGTAAAAACAATCCACTCTTTCCTTTACTCAAAAGATGTTTATAATAGTATACTTGCTGCTGAAAAGCCTTTTCTGGTTGCTGCTAATCACATGTTGTCCATCTTAAAGTCTTTAAAAGGAATATGGGTATCTAATGACTTGTTAAATATTTTATTAGGTAAAGAACCCAAGAGAGTTTCTAGATTTGGAAAAATGCATATAAAAACACTGATTACATTTGTATACATTTTTCAATTTGAATCATCCTGTCTTCCAATGTTATTAGATTTCATCTTCAGATTATATCAATCAAATGATGCTATAGGGAATGTACAGAATTAATATTTTAATTGAAAACAAAATAATAATCTGTATGGGGGTGGGTCTAAGTATTTGTCTAGCTCTAATTATATTAGTAGTAACATTGTCATTTGATGACTAGACAACAGGTAATTAAAACATAAAATTAAAGCAAAGTCAAATCCTGACTTATAAAGGCAACGAAAATAAAGAGCATGGCATAACCCCATTAAAAAGTTACTAGAGCATTATAACAACATGCATTTCTAACAATATAATATGCTTACTTTTACTATATTCTAGATGACCAAGTGATAAAATCCTAAATCATAAACACATTTCAAAATGATTTTTCCTCATGAGCTTTATCTTGACAGTCCAAAGCTATTGTGAATGGGCATAGGAGGAAAGTCTATACTGGAAGATGATGAAAAATTACTGTAACAGATTTTAAAGACTGTGGCCAGAATATCTTAGTAACTTGGGAACAATCAATTACAGAGAACAGGTCTACTCTATATTTTGTTACCTACACTGCCACCACATTTCTTACCAGATGAGTGTGGGCAGAATCTTTTAAAGGTAATATGAAGGGAGGTCTGGTTGAAATATCATAGTTCTTGAGAAAAAAAAGGCGATAAAGTACATTAATAATCATGAAGACAGCAACTGGTCCAAGCAGGAGCCTTTATCTAAGAGTTCAAAGGACAGATGAGAATTGTATTTTGCCTTGTTGACTTGATTGCAAGGTTCAAATAAGGTCACTTAGCTGAAAATACAGTACGTGGCTTATTATATTCACAATGTATTTTGGTGTTCATTCTAAAAATGAAATCTTCCTTGGATTTAATCAAGCAATATGAATCTTATCTTTAATGCTTTTCTTCTTTGTTGCTGATAAAAATTATTCCTGACGAGCACCAACAAGTCTTGAAATGTCACAACTCATTTTAGAGTGACACAGACCTCTTCCTCCTTCTAACAAAGTCCTCTGTGTGAATTAAGTTGGAAAGAGCCTTAGTGAGGTGACTATCTGATGTCTCAGTGCTGCTCCCAAAGTCATAGTTCTTCAGGCAAGGGCACAGGCAGCGAACAACAGCCCTGCGGATGTAGCTGTCAAACACGTAGTAAATGACAGGGTTGACACAACTGTTGGCAAATGCCAACGGCCCACTCACCTCCATGCCCCGCTGGAGAAGAGCTGAAGAAAAATGGAGTTTTGGCTGCAATCCAGAAATAATGGCAAGGAGCTTGAAAGTATTAAAGGGTAGCCAGGAGAAGACAAAGGCTGTCACGACAATAAAGATGATCTTTATGGATTTTCTCAGCTTTTTGTTATGCTTTCCTGATTGCTGGTAATGGACACACAGCTTTCTTGTGATGCAACAGTAGCAGGTCACAATGCTCAGCAAGGGGACAAAAAAAGTGAATATTAAGGCTACCAGGGCCCATGTCAATTTTTCTGAAGTAGCCCTCTTCTCAGCACAGTATGGCTTACCATCAATCAATGTGAGCTCCCTGGACAAAACAGTCGGTAACCCCAGAAGGCAGGAGACAAGCCAGACACAGGTACAGACTCCATATGCACAGTCTCTTCTTCTGAATTTCCTGGATATGGCTGGACACATGATGGCCAGGTACCGGTCAACACTCATACAAGTGAGCAAGAAGACACTGCAGTGCATGTTGACTGAGATCATGTAGGAGCTTCCTTTGCACAGGAAGGAGCCTGTCCTCCACAGTCCTAGAGATGCTTCCTTATCCACCCAGAGAGGCAATGTGACAAGGAAAATGAAGTCAGAGGCAGCCAGGTTGATGATAAAGATGTCAATTAATCGTCGGCTGCCACGTTTGAAATACAATGCACCAATCAGGATGAGGTTCCCCAATACTCCAGTCAGGAACACAGCTGTGTAAAAGATGGGAAGGAAGACAGATGTGTAAGGAATGTGGGAGTGGGTCTCCTTGCCATCAGAGTTTGGACTGGTAGCATAGTAATAATCCAAATAAACCGAGGTTGCTTCTGGGTCCATCACTGAAGATCAGATACCAAATCTGGTAAGTTCCCTTACCTAGAAGGTTTTGGTATGAATTTTAGAAATCTCAAAGGAGCTTCTTTTATATGGTGCTGTTTTTTTTTTTCTTCCCTTTAAAGATTTTGGACAAGCATGAAAACAGATTAAAAAAAAAAGTGCAGTTTCTACCAATCTTCAGAAAGGGCCCACAAGGAACACCACTCTGATTGGTTTTGGTTGGTTGTGGTTGTGGTTTTCTTTATTTGCACTTGCCCATGAAACTGAGTTGCTTTTTTAACTTCTTTATTCAACATATTTGTTTTTTTTTTTGTTTAAATTCAGAAATTAAGAATTGAACTTTTAAATTCTCACCTCTTTTAAAATCTTTGCTTTTCTGACACTGAATTCTTTTGATCTAGCCTTCTGTTTCACCTTTAAGATACTCTTTTGCTTTTAGATCTGGAAGGTATTCATAATAAAGATACACTTTTGTGTTTGCTGTTGGTGATATATGAAGAATATTAGTCTTTTATTTCATAAAGAGTGAATTGCAAGCTTGCCAAGTCATACCAGTCTGCACTATGGCAAACATTATGATTGAAATTAGGGCATTAGAGCTTTCCTATTTTATTCGGCTTTCATTTCATACATAATCAACCAAGTCTGGTTCAATGATTAAAAAATAAAAGAAATCTCCAAAAGCCTGCAATCTTTTATTTTTACTATTATTTCAAATTTTTCATCATAGCTAGCATAGTAACTCCTGCACAGTTGGTGCCTTGGGAATGTTAATTTATTATATTTGCTTCAGAAAATTCTCATTTTTGTGACCTAGTATAATTATAAATTAATTTGTTTGGCAGGCATTGTTATTTGTGAACCCCACATACACATTTAAAAATCAAAAACTGCTATTTTTACCCTCTTCTCTGATATTGTACCTCAACCAACGAAGTTCCCTTTTGTTAAGAGTTAACGTCCTTGAATCGATTTTTCTCCTACTAACCTTCAATAATTACCCTTCATCAGATTCCAGATTGCCTCTGACCTTTCCTTCATTATATCACACTTTTGTAGTGGTGAAATTTTTTTGGCTGTTCCTTAAATACCTCCACACATCAGCAAACCTCAGTTGTGGAACCACTGATCAGGCGGCAGACACAAGGTATCATAAATGAGCTGCCAACAGAGGCACTCTAAAAAGGGAAGATTTTTGGTATAATTAAAACATTTGAGAAACAGGATGAAACAGAAAGGACTCCATTCACAGAGTTTTCACATGTTTTCTTTTATATACGAAGGCCATAGTAAAATTTAACAAAATTTGAAATTGTCTCTATTAATTTCATTTCTGTGCTGGCCAAATGGCTCAAGGTTCTCTGGTACCCCCTTTTCCTTCTCTGCATTTCATTTAATGTCCAAAATTCCAGTTTCAGGTGGGTATAACCATTACATAGAAGAACGTATGCATGTAGATAAAAATATAATTGTTAAACACTTAAAGTCTTTTCTGTAAAATTTTGATTTTTTTTCAGTAATTGGAATATTGAAAAGAATAATCCTGCCTGTTGTACTCTTCTCTCCCTCCTGATGTGATACAATGTCATCTCAGTCATAAGCAAGAGAGGTAAGATTAGAAGAAGGATAAGGGGTCCCCTGACCTGGGACAGCCCCATGAAGTCACTCTGGAGTTGCTTTATGGACCTGGCCTGTCTTCTCTGGCCTATTCACTAATTCCAGTGTTGTTGTGGAGAGCAGGGGGTGAGGAGGGGAAGCATATCCTTCGCTAAATATAGACTGCAGATTAGAGAAACTAATTAATAGCCTTGACATTTCTGGGACAGAAATCTTTTCCACTGGGTAAGCCTTAATTATTTAACAGAATAATTCATCTGTCAAATAGTTTGAAGTAGGACAATACTTACTTGAAAAACATTAATAAAGTAACAAAATATTTAAACACTGTACTTACATGTAAATGTGCATGTGTTCAAGTGCCAATCATATACATTCTTTATTTGTAATTGTACTTTAATTGTAATATTAGAATTTTGCAATCAGAAGTTCTTTTGCTATTTGAAAAAAAATAAGCTTGATTTGGGTCTAAGATTTTTTTAAATCCTTATGTCTCAAAAATTCCACATAAAAGTATAAAATAGAGAAGAGTTTATACTCATACTCTGGAGGAAAACATTAGATTGTGCATTCATTCTGTAGGCCTTAAAATTTCTTTTGCATTTCTAAAGTTGGGTGGCTGGTGATGTAAACTATCTCAAATAAATCTGACTTACTCAGCAGTTTATTGAAGCAGTTGTAGATAAAGTGGTGTGCTTTATCACATGCAGTTACTTTGAAGTAAGATATTTGGTGGTAAAAGCTACAATATGACTATACATATATCATGAATAGTATAGACCAAAATTAAGAAACAAATTAACCATTTTTAGCCAAAAAAGGGACACAGAGCATGGTTCTGAGCTTTTCATAACTCTAAGTACAATATCAGTAAAAGAGAGAAGCCACAGTATATGGTGGCTATATAAAGAAGGGGAGGTCATAGTTCAAAGCCGATTGCAAAGGCCATTTTTAAGACTGTATGCCCTTGGATTCACACACAGATATCCATAGCATATGAAAAGGCAATATGAACAAGCTGTTAAAAAATTACAAATATTAGTTAACTCAATAACAGCCCATATGCCACTTCTTAAGAATTGTTTTCCCCCAAAAAAAATCCACTTAATTTTCCTCCCCAACCCCAGACAGAGATAATTGTATCTACCTTTGAACTTTTAAAATGCTGCTTATAAAGTACTTATTATCTCTATCAGGTGGTTTGTTGTCTTGGCACCTGACCCCCTGAGCAGATCATGAGTAACTTAAAAGCAGGGCACATCTGTTCTCTCCCTGCTAAACTCTAGCAGAAGGCAACTAAAGTCTTTATGGACTCTCAAAGTCATTGTTTGAACTGGTGGACGCCAGACCATATTACCCATTTTAGAGACCCTGGGACACCTACTAAAGTATACATTCACAAATCTTGTCCTTGATCTACAGAATCAGAATTACTGGGGACAGAGTCTAGGACTTTATATTTAACATGCATCGAACACACTAAAGTTTAGAATCACTGTTCTTAATCACCTAAATTAACCAATATAATGTGTTACGCTTTGGTATTAGTCTATTTTAAAGAAGGTTTAAAAATTACTTCAAAGTTTGAAACTCATGAAAGTTTTTTACCCTTTATCTCACAATAATTTAGGAATTAATCTGGATTTCTGCACCCTGCCTATTGTATTTCCAATTCTTGATATATGTTCACAACTGGATCAGATGTTGTAGAAGAAGAGAAGTTTTCTTCATTGAGACATATGCCCAAGTGAATCTATTATCATCTATTACATGGCTGTAGCCTGGCTTTACAGAGGACAAAATATTGTACGAATAGAGCTAAACTGGTCAGGCTGTGATCCCTGGCATTGTGATTATATTACTTCAGTTTCTTCCTTATCATACAACTCTGACCCCATAATAAGGTGGAGAGTATATCACCAGATTATATGCACACAGGAAAGCAGAAAGAAATCTCTGGATTTCTTTTTCATACACACCTTTTGTTCATATACATACTGTGATATGTCTCATAATAAGTGGCAAAGAGTATGAAGCAAACTAATTATTTCTCATTAACCTTAGTAGGAAGACAGTGCAATTACACATGTATTTGTTAGTAAGAGAAACTCTTGTCCTATTGAGAATCATAATGTGTGAATCATTTAAGCAGTCCAGTTTGAGAAAATTATTTATACTGTAGGAGTTTAGTTGTTTTTTATTTTCACAGTTACTTGAACAATTTAGTACTATATAGTGTAATAACATATGCCAAATTAAATGGCATGTATTTGCTCTTATCAGTGCACCCTCTCTACTTAATTTATTGGATGATTTCCCATGTTAACTAATGTTTACATAAATAGCAATTATTTTTTCTAGTAACATATACTTAAGGATTCTTCATAAGAGTATATTCAATCTGGATTTATATTATGCATAACACAAATTATTTATTTATGTTGGTATCCCTGGCAACACAGCACAGTGTCTGGCATACAGACCTGGGCTGAATCATGCTTGAGTTCTGAGTCAAAAACCAGTGAATAGGAGCTTTTGCAAACTTGTTAAGTAGCTTCTGTTTTCTGTTCAATCCTGGGGTCTTCATCACATCATAAACAAGTGTGGAGAGATGCTTCAAAGTTAGCACAGCATATTTTTGGTTATTTTATACCAACATTTCCACGTGGTGCATCTCGTTAGTATATCTACCATGGCCTCATAATAAATTTGATGGTGATGAGAAGATGAAGATCTTGTTTTAGTTTATAAATAAAGTAGTCAATCACATTAGTTCCTTATCTGCATTAAAGATTACCTTTTTGCAAAAATTTTGTTTAGGGACTCAGCATTAATATTTATAAACTAATAAATGACAAAATAAATCAAGAAAATATTTCCTTTCATAATTTCGGCCATCCCCATGATTGCTGTTCATGTTTGAAGGAGCAAGGGCTGTGATGTTCTTTATAATTAGAATGCATTATAGCCTTCCTCTTTTTCCTCTGTCCATCTGCATTTCTCACTATCTGTGCTGCTTGTATATTGCCTGCACTGGAAGTGTTGTATATACAAATTCCCTAATGAAACACTATGGCTATGAATCTATGACAACTATATTTTGTAGCCACATTCCTCTTCTTCCAGTGCAATTAAAAATCATATGTGATTTTAGAGCTTCAAGTGATATTAGTGATATCAGTATAACCTTTTTCCTAATGAGGTCACTGGAGCCCAGATAGACATCATTAACCAAAGACCCACGGTGATGATTTTAAAATAAAGGACAATTTGAATGTGAACTTCTCATGTACAAATGGTCATTCATTACTATTCAGAAGCAGGAACATCCAAACAACTATTGTTTGTTACACTTTGAGGCACCTAACAAGGTAGATTTTAGATGGATTTTTTGATGTGCCTTATCCTAGATTGATTTTTGCCAATGTTCTGTAGTGAATACATATAAAGGAATTCAAAGACTGATATAGGTTTTTGAGGATGGTTTTAGCTGGAACCCAGAGTTTGCACATACTTCTGTTTTCCTATGTTCTGAACTCCAAAATTCACAAGGAAAACATCTAGTACAAAATATAGGAAAAAACATAATTTTGATATATCTTTTAAAAATAATTTTTAGTTTCTAACAACAAGCAATTAAAAATTGAATCAAATTTAAGGATGCTAGGGAATTTGGTATTGAAGGGAATTCTTGTGTGAAGAATTGTTTCATAAGCACATAATAAAAACTGGTTATAAGTATGGCAGTATGTATAAACGTGGCTGTATAACCAATGTGATCCTGCAATCTGTACACGTGGGAATAATAAGAATTCATACCCCATTTGAATCAAATGTATGATATGTCAAGATCAATGTAATGTTTTGAGCAACTACAAAATTTCTTATGTTTAAAAAAATAAATAAAAACTAGTTATAAATCCAAATACCCAAGTTTTCAGTTATTTGGTTTACTTAAATTGCAACTATATTATCTTCCTGCTAAATCTAGAAATATCTTTAACAAATTAAACCAGCAGCTTTTTTAAAAATAATTTTTAGTTAAAAATTCATGATTTCCTTTTTTTTAGAGAGAGAGAGAGAGAGAGAGAGAGAGAGAGAGAGAGAGAGAATTTTAATATTTATTTTCTTTTTAGATTTCGGCGGACACAACATCTTTGTTTGTATGTGGTGCTGAGGATTGAACCCTGGCCGCAGGCATGCGGGGCGAGCGTGCTACCGCTTTAGCCACATCCCCAGCCCCAAACCAGCAGCTTAATTCAATTTTGTTTCTAAACTAAATTTCATAATCTGTATATGATTGTATTAAATCATCTTTAACATTTGTAAAAATATAGGACCAGCTACTGTTTCATGAATAGCAGTATAGGAAAGAGAAACAGGAATTTAATTCCATTAATTTATTAATATTTATTTTATCCACCTACATATATTAACATAAATTTAAAAATAGAAAAAAAAAAACAAAGATGCAGGGGAAAATCTAGAAATACAATTGTGTGGTTGTGAGGATGTAATGTAGGTTTTCTGTGCTGAAATGGTCAGGATGGATGAAACCTCAAACATACCGACACTTCCATGCCCACACTAATTTGGTGACTGAAGTGTGTCCTGAGTGTTTTCTAGGCATTCTGCAGTCGTGAAGGGTGAAAGTATAATTCACTTCTGCATTTTCCTGCAGAAACATTTACTTCCTGAGCCATGATGTAGGCTATGAGCCCAAGGCTTGAATTTTCCTGATTATGGACAAGCAAGGATGGCACAAGGGCTGTCCTGACAAATCTTTCCCAGTTAATTGGCAATTAGTCCACGGGCTAACCAGCAGAAATGAGCAAAAACACCTACCTCTATAAATGGTTTATTTCCAGTTTTTAGGGGGAATCAGGGGTTTTGAAAATATCCTTATAAAGTCTTTACTTAAATATTGTAAGTATTCAACAAATATTTGCAAATAATAATAATTCAGTAATTCTTTACTGAGCCTCAGTTCCTGTGCTAGGCATTTTATATGTAATTTCTCATTTAATCCTCACAATGATTACAAGAAATAACTGTTGTCAAAAAAAATCCCTATTTTGGAAAAAAGACAACCAAGACTTAGAGATAGCTAAGTAAATTGTCCCAAGTCACAAAACTAATTTACTTAGCCAAATGCTCAAGTTTACCAGTTCAGTTATTCTCTCTGGGCCTCAGTTCCCCTATCTATAAACTGAGGTTTTTTTTTTTTTCCTTTCTTTTCTTTTAAAATTCCCTTTACCTGGGTTTATTTTCCATGTGGACTGCAGTGGAGAGGTAGGTCCGAAAGTAGGGGATTTCTAATCAGGGACAAAATGAAGGCATTTTGTGGTGCATAAATGCAATCACAAGTCTTATTACACATTAACCATTTGTCTATGCACCTCTACCATTTTTCTAGCTGATGCCTGTAACAAAATTATTTCCTGATTAGATGCTATACATGACATTTCAGTATATATTATAATATTTGAATATTATAATATATTTGGCTATTTATTTTATTTAGCTAATGAGTATGTATTATCAGTTTACCAACTCTGGTGAAAGAAACATATCTACAATAGAAAAACAGATATACCTTCAATTTTTCAGGGTGGGAGAAATTTGACCTCAAGTTGGCTCTTCCATTTTTCCTCTGTGAAGTGGCTAAGTTCCAAGTCATTGGTGGTAAAGAGGGGCTTCAGAAGATACTCTGCTCCTTGATTCTGATGCCCCTACAGTGTTGTGAAACTGGTTATTTGTTGGTCTCGGGCCTCACTTATGGATCCATAAAAGTTATTACCAAGATTACCCTGATGATGGAGTCCCTTGATTTTTGGACCACAACTGAGAACTGAAGAAAATTTTGATGCACACCTGTAATCCCAGTGGCTCCAGAGGCTGAGGCGGGGGGGGGATCTCAAGTTCAAACCAAGCCTCAGTTATTTGGTTTACTTAAACTGCAACTATATTATCTTCCTGCTAAATCTAGAAATATCTTTAACAAATTAAACCAGCAGCTTAGTTCAACTTTGTTTTTAAACTAAATTTCATAATCTGTATATGATTGTATTAAATCATCTTTAACACTTGTAAAAATATAGGACCAGCTACTGTTTCCTGAATAGCAGAATAGGAAAGAGAAACAGGAATTTAATTCCATTAATTTATTAATATTTATTTTATCCACCTACATATATTAGCATAAATAAAAAATAGAAAAAAAAACTAAAGATGCAGGAAAGAGAAACAGGATCTCAAGTTCAGACCAAGCCTCAGTTATTTGGTTTACTTAAATTGCAACTATATTATCTTCCTGGTGCTAAGCAACTCAGAGAGACCCTGTCTTTAATTAAAAAAAATACAAAATAGGGCTGGGGATGTGGTTCAGTGGTTGAGTGCCCCTGAGTTCAATTCGCGGTAACACCACCATTCTAAAAAAAAAAAAAAAAATTAAAACATAGAACAAATATGTATCTGGTTCATGTTGATAAACTTCTGTGCAATACTCAGTTTAAAATCATTCTGTTGCTTCGATGCCACACAATCTCCAAGGCTGTCCATGACCTCACTACTGAAGATGATGTTCCCTAAGCTTCAGTCTTATTCATACTATTTAGATTTTTTAATCATTTTTTGACACATTATATCTTCAATATTTAATATTTTAAGAAATCAACTGAAATTTATATTTAAAAAACCTTACCACAATAAAAAATAAATATAACTTGTCATAAAAAGAAAGCAGCCAAAAACATATATATATATATATATATATATATATATATATATATATATATATGTAATCTAAATAACATCTTTATATTCTAGACGCATAATATCGTCCAGGACATATTCTTTTTTGTCTAAATGTAAACAATCAAGCCAGAAAGATCTGCTCCCATGTGGTTGTGGGGCAGTGGGAAAAAGGGGTTAACATTTCAGAAGTAGAATCCCTCTGCTGTTCTTTTATACAGTACTTACTTTTGGAGGAGGATGGTAAAATAGTGAAAACACAGGACTTAAAGCAGACCTTAGTTACATAGGTCACAATCATTGCGTAGCTGCGACCCAAGAGAGGCCGCCTTCCCTCCTAGACATTCACCCATTCTCTGGTTGTGAGACCTCCGCTGGGCACACCGCCTAGCCTACCGAGCGGAACTACATCCCCCACAATGGGCCGCGCGGCGCCCGGCGTGCCCTCCGCCGCCTTAGGCAGCTTTGCCTCCGTCCTTCCTACAAATCCCACAAGTCCCCTCGGCTCGGGGCTGCGGCCCGGCCCGGGGTGGAGGCGAAGGCGGAGGCGCGGGAGTTATGGTGGGGGCGGGCTCTGTAGGGAAGTGCGTCAGAGGAGGCGCGGGGAGAGTAGGGTGCTGTGGTCTCCGTTGAAGGGTGAAGCTGGCGGAGCAAGAGGATGGGCGGTGAGTGAGCGGGGCCGGCGTCGCCCGCGGGGGTCATGTCGCCGTTCGGCGTTCACGGCGGTTTGAAGAGGGGCTCCTTTCCGGTGTGGCGCTGGGGATGGGCGGGTTCTGTTAGGTGCACCGTGGCGGGGGATTTCCCAGGGTCGTGCAGTGTATGGTCGGGGGGGTGAGGCGCTGGTCGGGTACCTGGGGCCCCAGGCTGGGGGCGCGCTGAGCTGCCCCGCCCCGCCCCAGTCTGCGCTTGCCTGGGCCTCCTTTGGCTACGGGGTGCGGCCCCCGGGGCGACCGCGTCGGGCGGACAAAGAATCACAGCTCCTTGTACCGGGACCCTTTAAGGTCATTTGAGAGCACCAGGATGAAAGGGGATTTAAAAAAAATCAAAATACACATCCAAGTTTTGAGATATTGTTATATACCGCAGTTGCGCTGATCTTACTGAGTCACCTCCCAGCTTCCAAACTCAGCAACGCCAGTTTGCGAGCCTGTTTTTGTCTACCTTTGTAAGGTGTTTGGTGCGGGTCTTGGTATATACTTGACAGTATTTGACTCAGCGTGATCAGTCCGCCTTGAGTCATTTTCCGCGGCCATTTACTACTGCCATAGAGCCCTGTCCACGCCTAGGGAGTGTTCGTATTTTGCCTAGTTCAGAGTTTTCTTTCTTGCTGGGAAGGGATCTTTTGGTTTTTATGGATCCACGTTGTACTTCAGGATTTAGGGAAATACCAAGGTTGCAGTTGAGATTCAGAATAAGGACTGGGGAGACTAGATAGGAGCGGAGTATTTGCCAGTGTAAAGAAGCTTGGCTTAACTTTAATGTTGGGGAGATTGCTATTTAGCATTATTATATGTTATTGTTCTCTTTGCTATTGCATACACCTATAACAACCTTTCCCTCTGGGTTAACATCTTCAACTCTGATTTCCAAGTGGTTCCTGATTGGGAGGCTTCGCTTTTCAGAGGAAACTGGGAGGAGCCAGTTTTCAGTGCTTCCTTTCCTTCTGTCTTTTCCCACACTCAAACCCAGGACATTTAAAGCTAGTGTAAAAATCAGCCTGATATTTAAAATGTGTGCACGGTACACTGCTGACCATGGGCATGTCTATTGTTTGTATCTGTAATGTGTATGTCCATTTCAGTGTTGTCTGTTTTAGTATGCAGGTGATAGACTAGAGAACAAGACTTCTGTCTCCGTAGCATCCTGGGTATGTGAGCATTAAATAAGTATTTTTATGAGAATGAGTTTTGTTTTAAAGTTATGTTTACTTTTTAAAATTTTTCAATTCCTTATGATTATACATTACTTTTAAGAAACAAGGGATGGGGAATAGGGTAAAGGGTGATTTCAAGATAATTTCTTTCAAAATAATCTTTCTTATTTGTTCTTGAAGTCTAATTTTTCTTCTTTCTTCAACTTTTAAACAGAGCAGTCTGAATGCCAGAATGGATAACCGTTTTGCTACAGCGTTTGTAATTGCTTGTGTGCTTAGCCTCATTTCCACCATCTACATGGCAGCCTCAATTGGCACGGACTTTTGGTATGAATATCGAAGTCCAGTTCAAGAAAATTCAAGTGATTTGAATAAAAGCCTCTGGGAAGACTTCATTAATGATGAGGCAGATGAAAAGACTTATAATGATGCGCTTTTCCGATATAGTGGCACAGTAGGATTATGGAGACGGTGTATCACTGTACCCAAAAACACACATTGGTATGCTCCACCAGAAAGGACAGGTATTCTTCTATTTTAGTTTCTCTCTCCTTTTCCTACACAGTCACAGACAAAATCTCCCAATGATTTCCCAATTGTGTATTGGAAAGAAATAAATCTTATGTGTTGCTTCTCTTCCCACCACCTTCTTTTCCCAATTTCTATTCATTTTCATATTACTTATTAATAATTGGTTAGATGAGTAAATTTGTATTTTTGGAAAGCCACTTTAAATTGTTTTATTTGCTAACTCATTAAAATATTTTTAATCTCACATGTTATGAGAAAATAGTTGGAAAAGTAGATTAGAAGGATTTAAATATTTGGTAATTGGTAAGAGGACTAGTATCCAAAATCAGTTCAATGTTTATTGATTGTCCTTTTGGCTTAGCTGTGTTAAAGTGAATATCCTTCATCTGTCCTATACTTAGAGGACAAAATTTGACCAGCTCTACCTTTAAATCTGTATATATTTGAGACTATTTTAAAACAATATTGTTATACAAGTTGTAGGTTAAAAAGTTTGAATTATAGAGGCTGGGGTTGTGTCTTAGTGGTAGAGCTTATATGAGACACTGGGTTTGATTCTCAGCATATAAATAAGTGAATATAAATACATGAATAAAACAAAGGTCCATCAATATCTAAAAATATTAAAAAGAAAGTTTGTATTAGAGAAAAAAAATCTTAAGTTGATTCTCAGTTTTATTTAGCAAGCATTCTTAACATTTAAAAGATTTTAATTTCTAGTGAAATTAGAAGATTTAGAGCTCTTTGTAAGGAACAACTCCCCCCCCCCCCATTTATGGTAACTTCTGTTTAGTGAGGAAGCAGTGTATTTAAATCGTAGCAGAACAAATTTGAGTTATATCAGAAGAATGATAGTATGTCATGAAAAAAGGGAAATAGTATGTAAAAAATTGGTTAAAATTCACTGTACTCATGAGGACACAGGAGCACTTGATATTGGAATTCTACCAGTTCTTTTGTTATTCAACAAATATTGATTGAATGCCTCTGTGTTCCAGGGCCTCAGTTTGGAGGACCAAGTATTCCAAAAAAGGGATGAGAAGCAATAATCAGAATCACAAAGTACAGCACTATAAACAGAATAAATAATTACATAGTATGTTGAAAGATGACATGGCTGTGGAAAAATAGAGCAAAATAAAGGGGATTTTTGTAAATATGAGGGGAGGAGAATATTGGAGAATATTAGTGAACGTAGACTCTGATTTTCAAAAGGATGGCACAAGCTTCATTGAGAAAAGAAGATGTTGGTAAAGACTAGAAGAAAGAATTAGCCACAAAGGGTAATCAGAATTTGTTGAGGGAATCATTTAGGTTGAAAGGAACAACCACTGTAGAGGGCCTGCTGCAGGAGCATACTTGAGATGTTCAAAGACCAGCAAGGAGTCCACTGGCTGGATGAGTTATGGGCAGAGTTGGTTATGCTGTCAGAGACAGATTGTTGGGAATGGTGTAAATTCTTTAGGACTCCAGGAATATTGAGGACTTTAGTTTTTTAGTACAATAGGGTGCCTTTTGAGGGGGCTTTGAGCAGTAGAGAGACATGATCTGGTCACCCTGGCTGATATGGTAAGAACAGATAGGCAGCAGGGAGGGTGAAAGCTAGGGGATTGGTCAGGAGGTTGTTGCATTTATTCAGGTGTGCAATGATTGTGAATCAGACCAGTGAGGTGACATTTTTCCTGAATTTGATTTGAAGGAAGATCCTCTAGGATTTTCTGTTGGAGTATATATGAGCAAGAATGATTAAAAGTTTCCTGTCTGAGGAACTGGAAGGATAGATAGAATTGTCACCCCCTGAAATGTTAACCATTTTGGGGAGAAGATCAAACTTATTTATTTCGTTCTTTGTCCTCTCTCCTTTCTTCCTCATCTTTATATACTATTCTGCTATTTATTTCACTCCCTTTCTCTGAATCTCAATCTCTCTCTCATATATATGTGTGTGTGTGTGTGTGTGTATGTATGTATGTATATTTATGATGGAAGAATGAGGAAGATTATATATATGTGTGTGTGTGTGTATATATATATATATATACATATACATATTTATGATGGAAGAATGAGGAAGATTATATGTGTGTGTGTATATATATATATATATATATATATATATACATACACACATATGCATATATATATTTAATATTTAATCTTCCTCATGCTTCTATCTTCAGCCTATCACTGAGAACCAGGGGCATCCATTGGCCATCAAAGGGACTGGTATGTTACTCATGGCTCAAAAAATAGCTTACTCCTTGGGAACATCTTTTCTACATCACTTTATACTTCAATGTATAAATATTTAATGAAAGAGATTATTGTGAAATGTTTATAATGAAAACAACAAGGAATCATTGTTCTTGTTCCAGAGTCATTTGATGTGGTGACAAAATGCATGAGTTTCACATTAAATGAGCAGTTCATGGAGAAATTTGTTGATCCTGGAAACCACAATAGTGGAATTGATCTACTTCGGACCTGTGAGTACTTTGATCTCAGCAGGACAATTGGGGAGGAAAAGAAATAATTTTATTTGTGTTTGGTTGAAATGTGTTTCTGGAATATGATGTGTCAGTAGATAGTATGAACTTGGAATAAATTCTCTAACTCTATTCCAATGATGTTCTCTTTTGTTGATAATATATTTTAGAAGGTAGAAATATACTTAACAAATTTCAAATGATTACAAGTTCAGGGAGGTAGCTAATATATTGGATGATGAAATCTGGATATTCCCAGGATGTTATAGGCCCATTTTATTAAGAGGAAATTTACCAGGGGTTAAATAATAAATTGAATTAAACACTTATACTACCTATGTTCAATAGTCATGTGAAAAAAAAGTTAACTGCAAGCTCTAAATTGATCACTGAGTATCAGGTCTGTCAAAAGTGTTTATTTAATCTTAAGATGGTGGGGTGGTGGTAACAAAAGTATAGATGTTAAAAAAAAAAATGTTCATTGTGAACTTTCTATTCCTTGATGGCCAGGCTGCCCATGAAGTACTGTCTTTAGATTTGAATTTCAGTTTTTAGAATATTAGAGACTTACTAGTGCTTTCCCCTAAGAATGACCATTTTTATGAGAGGAAACTGAATAAACTCCAGGTATTCAATTTTGTAATGAGAATGCCTAGGCAGTAGTTTATTATCAGAGTTTAAAGAGAGGTTAGTTAGAAAAAACTCCTGTATGAAGTTTGAAAAAATTAAAACTAGTACCAGAAAGTAGAACTTGACTAATATTGATATTAATACATTTACTAATAATTAAAATTATCTGAAAATGGACTGAGATGCTTTGTGAGACCTATCACTTTTCTTTAATGTTGATAAGAAAATTTATTGTGATTAAAACTGCATTGAATGCCTGGTGTATTCCAGATCTACTCTATGTATTTTCTTTTCATGTGTTATGTATTTTCTTCCAATAGCTTTGAAGACAGGTCATTTATAATTTCCATTCCTTTACTTGTTATTCCTGCCTTAAATCTTATAAGGAGGCTTATAATTAAGCTATTGGCTGAGACAGGAGGATTACAAATTTGAAGCCAGCCTGAATAACTTAGTGAGACCTCTCTCAAAAAATAAAAACAAGGGCTGAGAATGTAGCTCAATGTTAGAACACCCCTGAATTTAATCTCTGATATAGGGGGAAAAATCTTGTAAGGACTTTAATATCAGCTCTGTAGTTTTAGACTATTTTTTTTTCCTGCAAATCCTGACTTTCCTGCTTCCTGTCTCACTTTTGAGAGTTATTTATTCTGAAGTTATTTCTTCAGTTATAAAATAGAAATAGTAGTAGTATCTTATCTAAAGAGTTTTGGGGAGGATTAATTCACAAATCATGTGTAGAACAAACATTATATGGCATATAAATAGTTTGTTTTAGCAAAGAGGTCTCAATATTAAAATACTACTTCCTCACTTTTGGAGAAAGGATCTAATTAGAATGTAACAGAAATTACCATTATGGGAAAATGGTCTGAAATCATGGTAACATTTCTATTCTTTCTCTCCTTTTTAAAACCAGATCTTTGGCGGTGTCAGTTCCTTTTACCTTTTGTTAGTTTAGGTTTGATGTGCTTTGGGGCTTTGATTGGACTTTGTGCTTGTATATGCCGAAGCTTGTATCCCACAATTGCCACAGGCATTCTCCATCTCCTTGCAGGTGGGTCTTATTATTATATTTAACCTTTAGCTTCTTCTGTCTCCTTAAAGACCAAAAAGTTATAATTCATAAATATTCACATATTACTGCACTGTCATGTTGCCTAAAAACTCTTTGCTGTGCTCTTACCCAGCTATGTTTTGTTTTCTAAATTTCTCCCCCCAAGGTTTGTGTACACTGGGCACAGTAAGTTGTTTCGTTGCTGGAATTAAACTACTCCACCAGAAACTAGAGCCGCCTGAGAATGTGTCTGGTGAATTTGGATGGTCATTCTGCCTGGCTTGCGTTTCTGCTCCTTTACAGTTCATGGCTTCTGCTCTGTTCATCTGGGCTGCTCACACCAACCGGAAAGAGTACACCTTAATGAAGGCATATCGCGTGGCATGAACAGGCCTGCTTTACATTTGCTGTTTTAATATTTTTGATATCTATGTTTTCCCTTGCATCCCTCCCAAATGTTTTATTTTTTTGTGGATATACCATTTTATCCTGAAAATCCATTTTATTTAAATACACACACATGACTAAATTTACAATAAATGCCACTAAAATTTATGTGGTTTACTCAGTGATTCCATTTCTCAAACTAATTTAGGTTCAAAATCTAGTCAGAAAGAAAGAGGCTTGACACAAATTTGTGACAGAAAATCTGCAATAGGAAATTGACCCAGGGCAAGTTCTGCTTATGTCTATTAAGACTTTTCACCAAACGTACAGTAACTATCTGTTGAACCAGAAATAAATTTCTTTGGTAAACCTCTTATTGTCAGAACTTTGCTGTTGTAGATAGCCAGTCAGCCAGGCATATTATTGCTGTTTTAAAAAATTTAAGAGTTTCATAAAATTGGAAAATTACCTAAGATCCTTTTCTGTAAACTTTGGCACATAGCTTCATCTGAGGTGAAATATGGCAGCTGTCTATATTTACACCATGTCTGTCTACAAGAAAAGAAGTGAAAAATATAGTGTTTACTTGAAATTAAACTTTATAATTGCAAAAGTTCCAATTCAGTGAGATAAACGGGTTAATTTTACTTTATTGTATTACTGTTTTTTAAAACTCCTTTATAGGATTTTCAGTATCACCAAACCATTTTTAATTTTTTTCTTTCTTCCACACCAGGCTTATTAAAAGAGTGCTTTCTTTTTAACATTGTTAGGATCACAGAGTAAGAAATTTCCCAACTGCTTTCTGTTTATTCCAGCTAAGTACCATAAAGAAGGTTCTACTATAAAGAGCCTACAGAGCTGGGAATACTACCACAAGATCTAAAGCTGTGGCTGTCAGTTTAAACTCCAACTATGGTCTCTATTTCTTGTGGTGAAATGACGTGCCTTTCCTTGCCTAATCCCTGGTGTATATCATCATTATTTAATGTCTTCTAATTCAATCATTTTTTTTATAAATATGTCTATAAACATTGAACTTTAAAAAAAAAATCTTATTTATTTATTCCATTACTGTAGCATTTGACAGATTTTAAAAAAAATTGTACCTTAGTAATTTCTTACCATATCCTAAGTCTGTCTTTTTTAAAAAATAAAAATGAGAAGAGACTCCAAAGAATTGTGTATCGAGTGAATTGATTTAAATCTTAGTACATTGGAATGGTTCTCTGTGAAAAATGCATTATTACTGTTTAGACTTGTCTTTATGTATTATGTTTGGTTTTCTGTTTCAGAAAATGTGGCAGCCTCCTCCATTAGAAAATAAGTCAATCTTTGTTCAGAATCTTTGTTTTCAAACTAGTTTTGTAAACTCTACACATCATTTAATGTGACTAGTTTCCTATAAAGTTATTTATTAGTGGATGTTTGTATTCTATATTAAATAACTTCTGACAATAAGATCAGCATTGCTCAGTAGCAAATTACTGTGAAATGGCTGGTTACTCAGGTTTCTGCCTATTCTTAATAGTTGATGTTTCATTGCTCTCCAGCATCTGTGGAGTGGATAGGAGAAAAGCTAAGTGAACAAACCAAACCCTTGGGAATGGGATTTAAAAATTATTGGCAGCATGACATTTTTGTATTAGGAAGTTATTTTAAACAGTTTTTCTGTCTCTTTACCCCCAGAGTTATCTGTGCCTATCCACCTAAATCAGTCTTGAATGTGCACTGTGGAAATGAAGTGAGAATTGGACTGTTAGTTTCAGCCTCAGTGGTAATAGTTTTGAATTTGGAAAGATAGCACCATAATCTCTGTTGCTGAATATATGTTGTAATTAGGATTTTTAGCACATTGCAGAGTAGCTGAGGCTGTGCTGCCTTGCAAAAACTTTCATTTCTCTGTAATACATAGGACCATATTATTTCATTTAATATGAAAAAAGTTTTTCTAATAATGTTGAACCATATGAAATTGCTGATATCCAACCATTTATACTCTTTTTTTTGGACTGGGGATTTAACTTAGGAGTGTTTTTCCACTGAGTTTCATCCTCAGCCCCTTTTAATTAATTTATTTTTTATTAATTTATTTTCTTTTTGAGATAGGTTCTCATCAGGTTGCTTAGGGCCTTGCTAAGTTGCTGAGGCTGGCTTTGAACTTGTGATCTTCCTGCCTCAGGCTCCCAAGTCATTGGGATTACAGGCATGTGCCACCATGTCCTGCTGATATCCAACCATTTTGATCAATCTAATAGATAAAATCAATGGCAAAGTAAATTCTGTTAATGTTCTCCATTTAGTCTTTGAAAAAAACCAAACACTTTTTAAGACACAAGTTTTGTGGCAACTTAAGAAATGTTTTAAAGCATTAATTTTATGGTTCCTAGTTGATTAAATGATATGGATAAATGTCTTCTAAATGCTTTTTTAGTAAAATGTACTTCAAAATTTGTTAGCTGTAAAACACCCAAAATTGATATAATAAAAAAGACTAATTCTAGAAGAGTTCATTTGTTCAGTTACTACTTAAGTCACTGACTATATCATAATACACTAGAGTCTTAAAAATCTAATAGTATTGTGTTAAAACTTGTTCTAAGTGTTAGGGGCTGTTGTATATACATGTCGTAGGAGGGAGGATAGAAATTAAGAAATGACTTACAGGTGTATTCTTTTACATTTGCTCACATGATTGAGAAGAATGAGTTTAAAAATCAATTTAGAGTTTGACTTTTTTCATTCCAGAAACATCACCAAATTGCAGCCCATCACTGTTAAAACTTGCAAAGCTAGTTATGTTCACTTGACTATAAGATACTCAATAAGAGGACTTTTCAACATTTAATCCTCAGGTAAGCTTTTACCTAAACTGAAAACTTGTTGAATTAACCAAATTTGGCCAACTGCATTTCTGAAGTTTCCCAGTAAATGGGTAAAAGCTCTGAAGGTGCCAGTTATTTCACAGATGAGATGCAGGTCTTACCTGGCACAGACAGGTGGAGTATTTTGTCCTTTCAGGACTCTTCTCATAAGGGAATGATAACTCCAACCTTGAAAAGAAAGAAGTAAACCAAGGGAACACATCTATGTGTAGGAGTTCTTTTCTCTATTGTTCATTATGTGTTTTGACGTCATTTCAATCAGATACATTTTCCCATAGGGTCAGATTACAGATAAATGCAGTGTCCTGCAAATTCATAATGTAGAAATCATAAAATGCGAGAAAAACAACAAAAATGATTACCCCTATTGTTTAGAAGAAGTGTAAGTCTTTGATAATGTCAGATATTCTGTTAGCAAAATCGATACATTATTTTACTTTATTTTACATATAAGTATTAACACATCATCAGGAAATTTGTATATATAAGATCCAATTTATATTACTTTCTGTCTATTTTTGCAGAGGCTTAAAAATGTGAAATAAGAAAGAGAGTCTGTTTTTGTGTTTTGTTTGCAGTGCTAGGGTTCAAACCCAGGGCCCTGTGCAGGCTAGGCAGGCACTCTGCCACCCAGCTATATCCCCAGCCCTTCTTTGTCTTTTAAAATAGCTGAATAACTGAGTAATAATGCATCATGTTTTATCTACTACTGACTCAGTGCTGGTGTTTCAGGGTGTGAACTTTACCTCACCTGTCCTGCAACTTTTTATCCCTCCCAGTCTACCAGCATTCTGTTCTAATTTGTCTTAGCCTGTCATCATATGTTTATACACATCTGTGATTCTCTTACCCCCATAATCATGGTGTCTTCCTACAAAACTCTTAGCCTTATATTCATATACTGTGTTGTTCAGTTTTCTTACTCCTGTCTCAAAATACCAAAAGTGCCTGTTCAAAACTAAAAGCTGTTCTATAAAATTATGTTTCTTATTAATAACTGCTTGAGAAGTATAATAATCTCTGTTTATTATTCCCTACCTCACATTTTTCAAATCTCTTTATAAAAGTTCTTGGAAACTTAATTCTTCCTCAACTTCCAAGGGAAGAATTTATACCCTACTTAAGGAAATCTTAGAATGAATTCTTCCAGTATCTCCAACCCTTGCTTGCACCTTATAAAATAGGGAATATATTGTTACCTGATTGGAGAGATTGCTGGGATCAGGGTATCCACTGGAGCAGAGTGTATAGTGGTTAAATATTAATATACCTGTCTTACAGAGTTGTGGTGACGAAGATTGCTTAGCATAAAGTAGTCAATCAAAAACGCTAGTTATGACTGATTACATTATAAGGTGATAGGGTTACCAAGGCTATTAAATGGTCCTCTTCAGCCTAGACTGCATATTAGAATTTCCTGGACAACTTTAAAAATTAGTCATGTGTCATAGAATTTGATTTAGTTGGCTTGGGTGATGGTTAGGTTTTTTGCAATTTTTTCAGCCTTTTCAAATGATTCCAGGGGGCAACTGTGTTTGAAAGGTACATTTCAAAGCACTAGGATTTTCTCTCTCTCTGGGCAGATTGTTAGAAAGACAGTGGAGTAAATAGACCTGGCATCGTGCCTGCCTAGGGAGCAAATGTATCTGGCATAGTGCCTGCCTTCTAGCAGCTACTTCTGTCTTGTGCTTTCTAGCACTTTTTACTGATATTGACTGGCCCTTTGAGACAGATCCTGATTCATTATACCTCTGCTGCCTGGAAATGTCTATTATGATTTGGATGTGAGTTGTCCTCTAGAGCTCAAGTGTGAGACAATGCAAGAAGATTCGGAGAAGAAGTGATTGGGTTATTGCAGCCTTAACCCAATCAGTGAGTTAATCACCTGATGATATTAAGTGGTAACTAAAGGCAGGTGGGGTGTGGCTGAAGGAGGAGGGGCATTGAGGGCATGGCTTTGGGGTATGTACTTGTATCTGGCAAGTGGCTTTCTGATCATCATGTGAGCTGCTTGCATTTGCCATACTCTTCTTGCCATGATGTTTAGCCTCACCTTGAGCCCTGAGGCATGGAGTCTGGTGTCTGGATTGAGACCTCTGAAACTCTGAGCCCCCAAATAAATTGTTCCTCCTCTACAGTTCTGGTCTGGTCCTTTAGTCACAGCAGAAAAAAGCTTAATAAAACATCTATGAAGTTGGCCTAATGCAGACCTGTTATGGTTTGATTCAGGAATGAATTCCCAAATGCTTACATCTTGAAAGCATGTTCTTAAAGCAACAAGGTTCAGAGGTGAGGTGTTTAGGTAATGATTGAATCATGAAGGCTCTAACCTCATTAGTGAATTAATCCATCTGTAGTTGAATAGACTACTGGGAGGTGGAACCCAGTTGGAGGAAGTAAGTCATTGGGGTGTGCCATGGAGGGTTTATCTTGTCTCCAACTCCTTCTGCTCAGGTCCCTGCTATGAGTTGAGCAGCTTTCCTTTGTCCACTCTTCTGCCATGATTGGTATTTCTGCCTTGGAGTCAACTGACCATGGATTGGATCTTCTATAAAACCATTGGCCAAAATAAATATTTTCCTCTAGGTTGTTCTTTTCAGGTATTTTGATTACAGCAATGAAAAGTTGATTAACACAAGACCCAATGCACTCTAGTGACTGGTTCTAAAGGTTGCATTTGATTGAAGGTAATAATGTTCATTTTGGGTTTGCATGTAACAAACCAAGGAAAGCATAACCATGGAAAAGAGGTGTACACTTTCAGGGCTTGTAGTTTGGGGTGCTTTATTAGGCCTCCATAAAGAAAGTGGATATTTTGATTGCTGTCTGCTTGTCATTTCATTCTCTTGATTATAACCAGGAAGAAAAGAGGAATGAGTGATTGACATTAACCTCTGCATAAGTCAGAAATTCTTGAATATGGACATGGAATGGCAGTATCTATCAAATGAAGGTCAAATGTCTTCTGTTTCAATAAGGTATCATGAAGATTAAATAAAGCATATAGGCAAAGTTTTAGGCAGATCCTGAAACACAAGAGCTCAATAAATGATAGCTATTATTATCTGGAGGTCAACACAGTACATAGGAGGAGGGTGTCTTTTGCCTAACCTGTGGGTCAGGTCTGAGCTATTGGAGCTTATCTTGTGGCTCTGCTCTTCAGTGGTGTTGGGGAGAGTCTTTGGCTTCCAGTTAAGGTTTTCTAAAAACAGCCTCTTTACTCATGCTAGCCATTCATGCATCTTGAGGTGAAGGAATGTTCGCTTTTAAAGCTTACATTATTATTTTTCCC